TTTTTTTTTTTCTCCATTCCAAATAGCCATGGTTTTATGGGGAAAGAGAGGGTAACAAAAAAAGCTTGAGACCGTGACTGCACTACATTTGTTGACCCCGGCTTTCCCTGACAAGACCCTGCCTTTTTAATACTGTACTTTAAACGTGCTTATTACTTTAATTGTAGCTGCCTCGTGTGCTAGGCCTTCCCTATAGGGTGCAGGGAATACACTTTCAATTGATTTTCATCCCCGCCCACTCCTTTTTTTTGTGCCATGACACCCCCCCTTCCCTTTCTCTCTGCGCACACACACATACACACACGCATGCACACACACCCACAGACACACACATTGCAAGTCCTATACGAATCAGCTATCAGTGGAGTGTTTGATTCGGCCGTTTTGTGGACTTGCTCAATCATCTTTAGAGATACAATGTTGTAGATGTTGCAAAACTAACTCAATGAATCAGTATGTAAACCTGCTTGTTGCGTGTATTTACACTGTATAGCTTTTTGGTTTCTTCTTACCCCTGACATGTCAGTTACTCCGGGGTCTAAGTTATTGTGTTATTGAAAGTACTTGAATATGAAAATCTACGGGACCTTTTCTGTTTGTTTTTTATTTTATTTTTCTTGGTCATTAACATAGTAATTCCACACATAGGATTTGAGGGGAATTGAGGGAAAACAGGCTGTTTGAATGACAGGTATTCATTTGTTTGAGATGTCTTAGTGCCTCTTGAGTGTGTTGGACAGGTGGAGTTTGAGAGACTCGCCTGTGGAGTCTTGTGCTAGCTGGTGTAAGTGAGAGAGATTCATTGTTTTTAACCCAGAAGAGGCGCAGTTAGATGTTGTTTTGTTGTCTATGTAAAAACATTCGCCATAATGTATTTTGATCTGGTGTCGGCCTTCATTTGTTCAGACACCAAACCAGTGACATCTGCTGCCTGTGATTCTCCCCACAAAGCATCAGCTGCACTGTTTGAGATGGATATCCAGACTATATAGCCTTTAATGTTCCCCCTGAATTCCCCGAGTGCCATTCCTGAGACTACTACTAGCCCATGCCTTTTACCTGTGCCAGGAAAATATGAAGTTGAATGTTTTTTGACCATCGCATTCCACCTTGTGTCCTTGACGTGTCCGCTGTCATTTTGAGAAATCGCAGAGCAAAACGTCTCAATTCAGTACCGGGAAGTGTTGTTGAAGATGTTAAAGAGGGTCGGAATGAAAAAAGTGTTTTTTTATGAGTCGTTTCTGTTGGTTTCTTTCATGTTGTAAATCAAAAGAAACCAACACCATTTTATCGACCAAGTTTATTAGGTTCAATTTGGGACTGGTCATCTTTTAACATCGGCTTCTTCCTTAAACTGTGGGTCGCCTAGCTCTTAAGCTCATGGCTGAAATGGTAGATATAGATATATTACTCTGATGTATTTACTTTTTACTCTCTGGGCCTCATACAGAGTGATATAGGAGTACTCTGAATGCTTTGTATCTGCATGGCTTAGCTGGAGACGACAGCGAGCGGTCTCTCTCCAGTGAATTTTCTCACCTGTAGGGCTCATATATTGTTGGGTCAGTGAGACGTTATGGCTTCCAGTCCTCATGTAAAAAATAAATAACTTTTTCATGTCTCCTCACAGGACATTCCATTTCCGTTCCCATTATTTCTGATATACTTCACGTCATTCAGACTTGTGTTTATGGCTTTGGTTGTGTGTAACTCACATTCCTGTGTGTCAAAGCTGTGTAAATCAAAGCAAAGGACAGTTAAAGTGTGAATGAATGGCTTAGGTCTTTTTGGGTTCTCTGGCACTTTTTCCTTGTTGCTGTACTGTAGAATTGTCTTGGATTTACTGTATATTTTTCTTTGAGGGAGAGGTTTAGGGTGACATTTACTGCAATATTGTGATGTTTATTTGAAAATTGTAAATTGTACAGAGTTCACAATTATACTCTTTGTTCTTTCTGTTGGGATTCCATATAAAATATGTATTCTTTGATTATTTTTTTCCCTCTCAGACTGTGGAAAATCAAATTGTACAGCTCCAAGAGTTTATCCTCCCCTCAGCATTTTTTTTTTTTTTTTTTTTCAGAGCTATGATTAAGAGAAATCTTAAAACTGTAAATAAATATTATTGTGTTGAAATATGAATGTCACTTCAAAAATGTATTTGAATGAGTTAGTCAAGGGCTTCAAGAATGAAGGACCCACATTTCTTCTTTTTATGGTTTCATATTTTTAATTTACAGAAAGTTAAAGGTCCTTTTTATCTGAGATGCCTATTTTTTTTTTTTGTTCCTCCTTGGATTCATATAAAATGTTTCACACATGAACCTTATGAAATCACTTTTTATTCCCTCCACACCTAAAGGGAAACTCCAGTTTGCACCCTTTTTTATGTAAAATAAAAGATCTCTCCACCTTGTGGGAATGTCTTTTGTGAGATGATTTTGTACATTTTGTTGCAGATCGCTGTACAAATCCAGATAGTTTATGTTAATGTTGGAGTAGATTTATACCTTCAGATTCCAGATTCCAAATCCTTCACCGAACACTTGGTTGTGTTCATGGATGTGAAGTTGTCTCTTCCTTTAGCTCAGTGCTTGTGTTAGGATTTCAGTCTGACCCCTCGGACCCTTGTCTGTTTTCAAATTAAATTAACTCTGATTCTCATTGTGTGGTCACAGTTTATAAATCGGGAAGAGGAGGTGACTTTGTTATTTGTCTCTGTGTATATGGAGTTGATAACATGATTTTTCTGTCTTCCCTTTCATTAACAATACACATCTTTTTAAATATATAAACGAGGTTACAAAGTGCTTGACAAAATCAATGAGGTAAAAAAGAAAAGATAAAATATAATCATACAAAACAGTATATAACAAAATATGAGGATAAAAGAAAACAAAGCAACAATATCAAGAATTACAAGTCAGGTGTCACAAAAGGCTTTCCTGTAAAAATTTGTTTTTGTGTTGACACACCTTGTCTCCTCGGACAGGGAACTCCAGAGCCCAGGGGCCCTGACGGAAAAAGCCTGGTTACTCTTACTCATCAACCGTGATCTAGGGACGGATAACAAGGCTTAAGGATCTCAGATTGTGAGTGTAGGGAGTTAAAGAGCGCTGTGACGTTAACTGGGGGCTGACTGTAAAAGTTATTAAAAATCAGTCCTATACTGAGCTGGTAACCAACGAAGGGAGCAGAGAATTGGAGTTATATGTGACATACGAGTGGTGTTTGTTAAAATTCAAACTGCATATATGTGCTACATAGATAAGGATCATAAAAAGAACACATTAAAATATCATTACATACATAAAAGGTACAAATACATGATTAAAAAACATTTAGTCAGAGGTTTTGGGGAAGAAATCAGAATCAGAAATACTTTATTTTTTAAATTTGTTTGTTAGAGTTGCTCAAGATGCTCACATGATGTTAAAGAATATAAATACTATGATATTACAATATCTAACACAAAATATATAGAGAAATAGAAAATGTGTATATATAGGTTTATACGTATAAGTAAAAATAAAATATAGTATGAGGGTAAGTATGTACCTTTTAATACAATATATATACAATATATGACAATATAGACTAAAGTAAATGTATGCCTCAGTATGTGATTGGCAGTAATTAAATGAGTAATACTAGTGAGTTTTAAAGATTGTAGTATTACAGAAGTAATAAATTATTTCAAAGAATAAGATATTCCTTTATTGATCCCCTGTGGGAGTTTTGCACCTCATTTCCCCGAAGCTGCTGTGTCAAAGTACAGAAATGTAAAAAACACAATAAAGAATAATAAAATAAAAATATTAAGACTATAATGAAAATATATGCAGTATAGAAATGTGGTGTGCAAAAATACTGTGCATGTACAATTATTACAAGTTTGTGCCAAGAAGTTATGCATAGAATCAGAAGCTTAATACTTGTTGTTGATTGGTAAACCGAGTGATTTAAGTCAACAAATGGAAACAAAAACACTATTAATGCTCACCGTGTGATCTCGTCCCTGCACTTCTCACCTCCCGCCGCTAGTGGCCACTGATGCACCGCGGCCGCTGTAAGCTATAAACTCCCTGTATGAACATCCGCTGCCTCTCTTCCACCGGTCCGAGCCAACATGGTGGGTAACACAACAG